TTCTATGCAGTGATCAAGTTTGTGTTGGTTGTAGTTGAATCGCCTTCTAGGGAAAGAGGTAGCTAAGCTGTTAAATGGTGCACCGTGGCAGGTGGCCAAGTTTTAAAAACACCTCTTTGGCATGTCTTTAAGAGTCCCAGAGTACCGAAAGTCTCAGGTTCTCTCTTCACTTGGCCCAGAAGTTTGAAGCTGAGAGGCAGAATGGGATGTCAGGCACGGGTCCCAGGGATTCAGGATGAGTGGGAACTCCTAAAAACGGGTAAAGGGAGTAATTGTTTCAGGATTGCTTGCACTTGTTCTGGGGCAGTTGAACAGCTCTGGGCCGCTGAGGTCTTCCAAGCTGGAACCCTGAGATGGGGCTGGATGAAGGGTTCTTGGTATGGGTAAACCGAATGCCCAATGGCAGACTTGAATGAAGCTGGCTTCCAGAAGCAAGAACAATGAAAAGATATTAATCTCTAAGTGTCAGAAAGAAGTTATGTGATCCCGTTGAGGTCTATATGGGGGATACCTATTGTTTTTATATTCCCAGGGGCACATCTCCTCTTTTGGTGGTGAAATAGGGCACTGGGGCAGGCAACTTGATCCAAGTTGGGCCAGTCATTAAACGTCCTCACCTCAGTTTCCTCACCCAAGCCTTGCTAACTCTTACGGTGTCTTTCTTTCTGTGAATCTGTAAATGATTTTGCTTCTTGAAAACATTTTACTTCTTTTTTTATTATTATTTTTAAAACAGTTAACTTATTTATGAGAGAGAGCAGAAGAGGGAGAGAGAGAGAGAGAGAGAGAGAGAGAGAGAGAGAATGAGAATCTCAAGCAGATTCCATGCTGAGCAGGGAGCCCAGTGCTGGGCTGGATCCCCGGACCCTAGGATCATGTCTTGAGCCCAAGGCAAGCACTTCACCCACTGCGCCACCACCCAGGTGCCCCCAAAACACTTTACTTCTGTGTAAGAAAATTATCATACTAGACAGGCTTTGGTGGAATAACTTGTTTTACTGCCACCTGCTGGAAAATCATAGTAATGAGTATACAAGTGCATGCCTTTTCTGTAAGAATGGCACAACCCTGCTCTTAGCTTTACACCCTACCCGGTAAGGGCAATGGGCTGAGGTGTCCATACCCTGCGCTAGCCCTGTCAGAGTTTTCTCCCAGAAGCTTGCTGTGATGGTCTTTTTCTTTTCTAGTTGCCACGTAGTGAAGATGGGAGCCTGGACTTACCAGGAACCCCATTTTAACCTTATGTAGAAATGAGCTTAAGAGAAAGTAACAATCCACAAAAAGGCGGTGGGATACAAGGACAGAAAGAAGTAGTGCCAATGATCTTAGAATTTCTGGCTGCAATCCTAGGTGAAGATATTCCTGTCTTTAACCTTTCTTCGGTTTGGCTCTGAAACAATTTCCTTTGTTGCGTTAGGCAAAGTTCAGTTTCTGTCACATGGATAAAAAGTAAAAAAACAGAAAAACAAAACAAAAGCCAAGTATATATTGACTTCGGAGATCAAGTGAAATTAACTGATTGCAGTTGGGAAACAGGGCAAGAGGAGATACTCTGAGGTAATCTCAGTTTTTATATTCGAGTCCTGTGTGGAATTACCTAATTGTTCCTACTAGGACTATGTCTGGCTAAACCTAGTTGCTCCTCCGTAGTTTGGATTCTTGCCTAGAGCAGCCATTTAAAAAGTATTTGTTGAATTAAATTAATCTCAAAACACATCGAGACGGACAACACTTCATTCAGTATTTTATTTTCTTCTCCTGTATTTATTGAGCAAGTGCCTTGCAAGAGACACGGTTCTACGTAGAAAATTTCCACTTATATTCTCAGATCACATTTTGTAAACCAATATGTGTTTATCAGTAGAAGCTAGAGGTCATGCCAAAAGCAGTTGATAAGAAGGAGACTCTTCTCCAGATAAACAGACACCACTCCTGCAGAAGTATGGGTCAACACAGAGTTCTAGTTCTAGTTCCTTCATCTTTTCAAAGATATCTAATAACTTTATTAGATTTTAAAAACAAAAATAAATTCATATGAAACAAAAAAAAAAGAAAGAAAACCAGAAGTCTCCATTAGGAGTGATGTTATGTGATGCCTATCATCTGTTGTTTGAGAATCAATGAGCATTGTTAAGGTAATAAATCAGTAAGAGCCACTGCACCAAAATGGGACAAAGTATTTTGGGAATATTCTTGAATTCCTAATGAATTCAGAAGTATGTCAGTGTCATAACATTTCCTGCACATCAATTATTAGGGATCGATTGCAGTAGATTACACACACACACACACACACACACACACACCCAAGAATACTGATAAGTGCTTGTAACTAAAAAAACAACCACTAGATGATCTCCTATAATTATCCAATCCTTCTTGCTGCAAAACTCAGAAAACATAAAGACACAGAATAAAATTCTGGGTGTACAATCACTTCTGTGAATAAGACCTTACGTTTATTTAGAAGTATGTTTTTGTGTCTAAGTTTATAAGTGATGGGGTTTGAGTATGTACCCATTTGTAGCTAGTGCTCATCCATAAACAAATTTATGGACAGATTTGTCAGAAATTTTACTATGTGTCACTTCTGCTCTGTGGTCTCCCTAATTTGGCTTTAAAACTTCATATATGAAGCTTTGACAGTCCAGGATGGGCCAAAGCAATGAATGATTTTTTTTCCATAAGGGTTAAAAATAAAAAGTAGAAAGTAAATAGAATACACACACACAGAGAAAATATATTTATATATAAATATGTTTGTGTCCTTCTTGTGTGTATGTCATTTTCTTCTGCTTTCTTTCCTTCAGTATTTTTTAACTATGTAAAAGTTTCTTCTTTAGAAATATTTTACCCATACCTGCTTAATAACTGGAAGATAGTGGTAGCCACAACTGCTTGGGTCCTATAAGCTTTTTAGTTTAGTAGTTTGGGTTTGGAAGTCAGTTTTAACTTTTCCCCCTTTCAGTTCACTCCATGCTGTGTTCCAATATAGACATAAATAGAGGGCCGCCATTATTTAAGAATAAACTGATATGGTTGTGAATGGTGTGTTTCAGAGCAAAAATTATGATTCAATTCTGAGCCAGAGTAGTTTTGTTCATTAATAGCAACGGACACCATAGGACAACAGATTTTTTTTTTTCCACATCTTTAGTGAAGGTGATTCAGAGTAGCATGGATATATTCTTACATAACAAGAGTATTATTTTGTCAGTGGGAGGGAAAATACCACTTCCTTTCTTCTCCAATATTCTTGCCTAAAATCATTATTCTTTGAGTTTGGGGGGCTTTTGTATTTACTTGCAGTCAAACATTCAAATCTAGAGGAAAAGCACTTTTTATTTTTTTCTCATATAATCTCCTGCCATTTCTGACCATTTATCTTTATTCACATATGAAGTAAGTCTCAATAAAAATTATAAATTTTAGTGGGATAGTTTGTAAAGCTTATATAATTATTTTTACTGTTATATCTATATAATATAAAGAACCTGCAGAAGTAAAGGAATTTAGAAAAAAAAAATCTATTTTCCCCAACTCAGAAACCTTAAACATATTACTTATTTAACACTTTTAAGTTTTTCTTCTTTTTTCTCCTCTCCAATTTGCTTACTGAACACTGGTTTCATTATTCTTTCTTCATTTTAATTATTCCCCAGTAGCCTCTGCTTTCTTCTTTGTCTCCTGATTTTTCAATGTATTTTTCAATATTGTTACTGTTTTGACACCATATCTAAATTTCCGTTTTCTTCTGTTGCCTCTTTTTTTTTTCGTATTTCACATATGACTTCCAGTGATTTTGTCAAGATAAATTGTTCAGAATTAAGACTGACTGACCATGATGGGCTTAAGGAACTCAGAAGAACTGCCAAGATTTTCTTCAACTCTAGAAGCTTGTTGGAGCCACCTGGGGTGTGAGAAGGAAGAAGCAAGGGCCCTGGGAAGGCATGACGAAGAGGGGAAGCCTATTAAAATAATGATTTGGAGTAGTGTGCGCTGAAGACAATAAAGTACAGCTTTCCTGCCAGGTCAGTAGCTAATAGCCCATGGGTTTTTTACTAAGGAAATTAAAACTTTAGCTAATGAGAATGGGAGCCACCTACTGAGAATGAAACTGAAGGCTTCCTATTAACTCCCCTCCCTGGGTCCTTTTGACAGAACAGTCAGAAAGTTATTTCCTATTTAGTAGCAAAAGGCTTGAAATGGAGATTTTTTTTTAAAAAAACGATAAAAAAAAAAAAAAAGTTGTAGGCACTCTTCTTATTCAACTCCCCTAAGAAGAGATGCGGACAGCTTATTCCCTCCCGGCTCCACTCAAAACACACATGGGCACAGGTCACGAAAACAGTTAAAAAAAAGAAAAGCGGAGCTGTCCCAGATAAGTAGAGCCAAGATGACTCAGTCCTCCCCGGGGAATTTTTGGTGTGAAGACTTGAAATTAATAAATCCGCTGTTAGTTTTGAGGAATCAGCAGGATTAGGCAAACTCTTTCAAGAGTATTGGTTGCATTTCATTATTCCAGGGGGCGAGGGCTCATCACTTATGCACATCTCTCTCTCTCTCTCATGCACAAGTAGGCACACCTCCGTTTAACTCGCAGGTCACTAGGAGAGTGACTGGAGGCCTTCTGAACACACTCTGGTCCCGGGTAAACACCTAGGGTAGCTTTTCTGCCCCCTCCCCCCGCCCCCAAATCCAACTGCCGGCCCTACTGTGGTTCTTTGCTTGTTGTCACCAAGTGTGCCGGGGCTCCATGGCTCTGCCCGCGGGCGAGAAGGAAGCCAGCGGGGGTGGCCGTGAGGAGGCCCACCTCGGGCTGCGGAGACGAGGGCAGCTCAGGTTCGAGGCCCGGGCTGGGCAGGGCGCGGAGCGGGCTCCGGGCTCGCGGGCGCCCAGGTGCGGGGCCAGGGCTCCCGGAGGGCCGGGCGGCGGGGACTGCAGCTGGCAGCCCCGGGCGCGGCGGGCGGGGAGCGAGCGCGTGTGTGCGCGAGAGCGGCGGGCGGCGGCGGGAGGAGGCGCAGGCGCGCTGCTCGCCCGTCTGCAGCCCCGCGCCGAGCGCCGCGTCTCGGGGAGTTGATGGCAGCACCACGGTGCGGCCGCCCTGCCGAGCGCCGAGCGCAGCCGCCCGCCGCTGCCCAAGGAGCGTCCAGGATGTGGGGGGATCGGGGCGGCCGCAGCAGCGCCAGGGACGGGGGCGCGCAGCAGCCTCCGCTCGCCCGCCTGTGCTGACCTGCCTCGCCTGCCCCCAGAGAATGTCAGCCAAGTCCAAGGGGACCCCCTCCTCGTCCTCTCCAGCCGAGGGACCGCCGGCAGCCTCCAAAACCAAGGTGAAGGAGCAGATCAAGATCATCGTGGAGGATCTGGAATTAGTCCTGGGCGACCTGAAGGACGTGGCCAAGGAACTTAAGGAGGTGAGAGGCGCGGGGGTGGGGAACGAGTTCGTCACCTTTTGCCCCCCTCGGGGTTCCGGTCCCGTTTTCACTGGGGACCGCCCGTTTTCGTAACTCCTGGAAAACTATAGAAAGACGCCCGCAGACGGACTTTCTTTGCTCGGGCGACTCCGGAGAAGAGTTGTTGCACTTTTTTTTTTTTTTTTTTTTCTTTTTAATCAGGAGGAAATCAACTAGTGTTTTAATCGATGGACCTGGGACGGTGGGCAGGGCGAACGCGTGCGTGTCTCGGTTTCTGTGTGCGTGTAATGCCCGGGAAGGGGGCACACTGGGGGTGTGTCGACAGAGGAAGAAATGAGCAGCTGGGCCAGAGCGTGCAAAATGCTCCGGTCCTGCCCTCTTGCTCCCCCAGAGTCCTTTGGCAAGTCGCTCCTTGCCTGGCAATCTCCCCAAGCCGGGGCTGGAGGGGGACCGGGTTCCGGGCCCTGGGCCAGGCCGGGGAGGGCAGCCCAGGGGAAGCTTGGCTCCGACTCCCCTCCCCGCCTCTCGAGCCCGGCTGGAAGGAAGGCGACCCGGGCGGCGGGCAGGGGAGCCCAGACTTGGGGATTGGGGGGGGGGGGTCTGGGACTTTCTCACTTTGGCAGTTCCTGAAGCATCCTCAGCTCTCCGAACGCCGCTCCCAGTAACTCCGGGCCTTCCCTCCACCCCACCTCCTTCCAGCCTCCCATCTTGTAGACACTTGGCATAGAACCTGGGGCGCGTAGGTGAGCGTGTTCGTGTGTGTGGTGGGCGTGCAGCAGGGTCTTGCCACTTGCGTCCTGGCTCTTGGGAACCCGACTGTCTCGTTCTTTCCCGCTCCCCCCTCACCCTGACCCTCCGTTCCACGTGTGCCCTCCCACCCCTACCGCTGTGATTGGGATCCAAGGAAGCCAAGGCGGTGCCGGGGTTGAGGCTGCGTAAGTCAGGCTGCTGCTCCAGGCGGCGGGGGTGGGAGGAGGAGGGCCGGGTGGGAGAGGTGGGGTCTTCGCGAGCCTGCCCCGCCGGCAGCGGGTGGTGTCGCGGAGCTGGTGGCGAAGTCCGAGCCCACGGTTCCGCTCGCGAAGGCTGGCTGGTTTGGCTCTCGGTCAGGGAGTCCGCACCCGCAGTTGTGCGAGAGCGAAGACTGTAACTTCTAAGGTGGTGGCCGCGGCGGGGAAGGGAAGGAGTGGTACATACTCGAGGTCCACAATTGTATTCCTGTTTTCTGAGGCCAAGGGGGAGGAGACTGGGGGGTGGTTTGGCTGTCTGGCCTCTGGAGATGAACCTCCTCTGTCCAATTTCCCATACAAACGCGAAGAGCGAGCCCCCTTTCCACCCCCACCTTCCCCAGCCCAACTCCCCTACTCCCCGGATTTCCCATCACCTCTAGGGACCGAGCTCCGCATTTGTTACCAAATGAAAACCTGTGAAAATGGCCCATTCAGTGGCAGGGTTGGGTTTGCCAGTGGCTCATGCCATTTCTGCAGGTTGTTCCAGAGACAGAACGTAATTACCACTGAGGTCCTGAGAGTGGGGACTGACACAGATGATGGGTGCAAGGATCTAACTTGTCCGTGTGCTTAGGGCATCCGTGGGATCATTGCTTCACAACTGGCTGACAGATGGCGAGGCTATGCATTGCAATTCAAGTCTAAAGATGCTATTCGTTTCTTCTTTGTTATTCTTTTATTTGACATCTTTGGCAGGCTGTGTTTCCATCTGAAACATTATGGCGTTTTAAAAAATGAGCAAATTTGGGCTTGCTCCCCTTGGCAGAACTGTGCTTTATAGTAGTTGAGGTTTCTACGGTGGGGGATGTGGGAAGCCTACATCAGCAAAGTAAGGTGTTTGTTGTCTTGGGGAAGAGGCTGAAATTAAGAGAAAGGCAGTCAAAACTCTGCCTCTGTGGGCACATACTTCCTGATATTATGATGTGTCACTCCACTGTCTATTTTAGACAGAATAAATAAGGAGGAACTGCAGAGTCCTGGTTCTGCTGCGGCTCATTATCTTGTAGACATCTGGAGACCAGGTAGATCTAGGGTGAAAACTTTTAACCTCCCTAGGGCTCTTCATTAGAATCAGGAAGAGGTCAGTCAGGAAATCTGCAGATCTCTCACTCTTTCTGTGTCTTCTTTTATTTGAGCCTTCCCTAAGGGCAAAAACAAAAAACAGGTCATTTACAAAACATATGGGGAAACGTAAATAATGTACAACCAAGTAAAAGAAAGGATCTATCTTCTGGACAGATTGAGAGATAAAATTTTGACTTAATGCTTTGGGATCTTTGATTGGCGGCCAGGGCCTGTTTGTGGAAAAATCTTACCCTGAGAGTGAAATTTATGAATGATAAAGGCTGTGATGCGGTTCTAATTACTTTCTTGAGGCTATCATTGTCCTAGGTTTGCACATGGAGTTGTGTCTACTGAGGCCAAATCTCAGAACCCTAGCCTTTTATATAATGTGAATGGTAGTTATTTTGAGAACAAGTATTTATAGGATATGTTTAACTTATGACATCTTGCAGTTGTCCAGCATTTATCTTTTTAAGATAGTACTGCACGTGTGATTGAACATGCCTTTGATGGAGTTTTGAATGGAGGGGTAACTTAAAACTTTGTAAAATCGCAGAATGTGTTGGTCTCTGTAGCTATGACTTGCAGCTCTGAACCTCACTCTTCATCAATTGTTACATACAGTATTCTGGCACCTTGCCACTGGTATGTATTAAAAACATAAACTGTTATATGTAGAATTCTAATTCCTTTATTGGCAATGCTGTGCCCTTAGGCCATGCCATATCTTGACATAAATTACCAGACAGTTCTTATTAACTTGGAGCAGAAATTAGAAATTTTTTAAAAAGTTGATTATGACTAGATCACTATGTTAGTCACTGTATGGTATTTGTTTTTCTTTTTTGCTTTTTCTATTCTAAAATGCAATATCCTTTTTTGAATATTCTTTTTTTTTTGCATAAATTTTGCACCAACAGCTTTAGACCTTTGAGGTTATTTCAAAATGGCTTTTTCTTTTTAGAAGTTCTCTGGACTTGAGTCACCGGAATATTCGGGTATTGGAGTAGATTCGAACATAATAATAGCTGCTCAAAACATTGTACTAATTAAAACAAAACTCTGCATTATACTGAGTTATGATTAGTTATTTACTTATCCACTGCTTCATCATTCACAATTGGATTATATATTGGAAGATGATGAACAGCATTTTTGCAAAGTCTAAGGGCAGTTTTATTCTATCCTCAGCATTCAGTAAAATCTTAAATAACATGACTTTTCAGAAATAATAAGGGTCTTTTGATCTTCTGTAGTATAATGGAAAATCCTGAAGTATAATTCAACATATTTATTCAGTGCCTACTATGTGCCAAGTACTATATTATCTTTGTATGACTACCAAAATGAGCAAGTTGTAGATTCTGGTCCCAGTGAACTCAAAGCAGTAGCTTGGGATGCATTTTTCCTGTCTTTGAACATCAATAGTGTGAAAAGGCATTCTTCTTAGTGGCCACTCTGACTCTGATCTAACAGGCTTGAGAATAAAAAACAGAATTGAGAATAAGAATTAGGTATGTAGATTATACGGTGACATTTGCCATGTACTTAGTAAGATGGTCAGCCTTTGGTGAAGAAAGAAGCAGCTTAAAAACAATGGTAAGGTAAGAATTTTAAGGAACTTACAATTTACTTAGATTGTCATGATTAATACAAGTGGATCAGTGCCCTACACAGGAGATCACATATCCGAGTCCTACAACTGAATATTGGAGTTTCTCATGAAGGATAAATCCTTGGGGGGATGAATAGTCAAAAAGAAGATTTTAGATCTTTGAGATGTGGGTATAATTGGAAGAATAGAGAGGGGAAGGAATTAACAGGAAATAGCATTGTTACATACAATAATAATACAGTATTATTCCATGATGCTTTTTTCTGCACATTAAAAAAAATTGGGGTGAAACTCTAGAGTTTTAGGGATGAAATTAGCCATTACTGGCTTATTAGATGTGAGTATATCTTTTTTTTTAATTATTAAGAAATGTAGAAAAAAGTCATTACTCTTTAAAAATAGTTGTCAAATAATCTGGTATCTTTGGGTACCAATGTGCCTGTTCTTTTAGGAAGATCTCACTGGTGAACTGTTTTGCCTCAAATGTTAGTGTTAATATGGTATCACAGATCTTATTGGTTAGACAGAGACTGTAATATGTAGTAAAGAGCCTTTGATTTGGGAACAAAATTCATTGCTGCTCTAGCTATATTCTCTTTTAGTTTTGACTGATTATAACTTTGAACATGTTTGTAGTGTTTCATTTTACAACTTGAAGTAATCACACTGCTAATGGGTTGAATATATGCATGTATTATTTATTTGTTTAATAAATTTAATTTATTAAACTTAAAATATTTGATACATATAATTACATGTGTCTGTATATATGTGTGTGTATCTATGTATAAAATTATGTCTATATAAAATTTATTTATTTATTGCTAAGATTTGTGAATACATATGTCTCTCAGAGAGGACCCAGTTAAGATGAATTATTCTTTCTGTGCTCTAGACCAACTCAGTGGTCAGACTCCTTAGGTGGGAAGTTAGGTCAATACTGTGCCTGTGGATTGGTAAACACCCATAATCTTCCTTATGAGGTCATACAGGGAAATAAATTAAACTTAAGTTTAATTTTGAGGGGCACCTGGGTGGCTCATTTGCTTAAGGGACTGCTTTTGGCCCAGGTCATTGGGTTCCCTGCTCAGCGGGGAGTCTGCTTCTCCCTCTGACCCTCCCCCCTTCTCATGCACTCTCTCTCTCTCTCTCTCTCTCATTCTCTCTCTCAAATATATAAATAAAATCTTAAAAAAAAAGTTTAATTTTGAGAAGTTTGAAAATCCACTAGAAATGATCCATTTGGGGACTGATGAAAACAGAAGTCATAGAATTAACAATTAAGTGCAAAATGTTTGTTTTTAAATATTTTC